TTTAATTTGCGCTTTCAATTTATCACAGTTATCTTCTTTGATAGTTACACATCTTGCTGTTAATTAAACTCCTAGATATTTAACTTTCTTTGCAATCTGCAAACCCATCATCTTGGCAAATCTCTTTTCTGTTTATCTGTAAAGTTTTTAACTAATATTTTAGTTTTCTCTTTGTTTACTTTCAATCCTGCCACTGCACCGTATTTTTCTATTTTCTCAATTAGTTTAGGTCCTGTTTCTTGTGGTTCTTCTAAAATAAACACCAAATCATCAGCAAATGCCTGTAGTTTGTACTCCTTCTTTATTTTCATGCCTTTTATTCCACTGTCTTGCCTAATATTTCTGTTTAACACCTCTAAAGTTAAAATAAATAACAGTGGAGATAGGGGACATCCTTGCCTTGTACCCTCAGTTATATTAAAGTTCTCTGTCAAGTCCCCATTTTTAATCACCTTTGCTGTTTTTTTATGGTATATTGCCTTAATCGTGTTAATAAATTTATCTCCAAAGTCCATATACTTTTAATTGTAAAAGCATAAATTGCCAGTTCACATTGTCAAATGCCTTCTGTGTGCCAAGAAAAATCAGTGCCATTTGCTTTCCAGGGTGCATCTCATAATATTCCAATGTATTCAAGATCATCTGCATATTATTTTTAATTTGCATCTTAGGTAGAAATCCATTCTGATCTACGTGTATAAAGTCATTTAAAAACCTTTTCAATCGCTCTGCTATTATTGAATCGTAGATTTTGTAATCTACATTTAACAACGATATTGGCCTGTAGTTTTTTTTTTATTTGTGGTGAATTAGAGTGTTCTTTACGTATCAATGTAATATTCGCTTCCGTCCATATTTTAGGTAGCTTTGCTTCTGACATTGCTTCATTATAAACTTTGAGCATAGCTGGGCCTATTGTGTCTTGTAAATGTTTATAAAATTCTACCGGTAGACCATCTGGCCCAGGAGATTTGTTATTTTTTTTTGTCTCCTAATTGCTTTAGTTAGCTCCATCATTGTTATTCTTTCATTCAGCGTGGTCTTCACTTCTTCAGAAACTTTTGGCAATTTAGCTTTTTCCAGATATTTTATTTTAACTTCTGATATTTTCTCTTGGCTATATAATTTTTCATAGAATTCCTTTATTATTTTTTTCTTGGCTTCATTTTGGTATTGAATATACCAGTCTCATCTCTCAATCTTTGTATCAACTTCTTTTCTTTCTCTTTTTTAAGTCTGAATGCCAGTCATCTTCCTGGCTTATTTGCATTTTCAAAAAAATTCTGTTTTGCTGCTTTGATTTTTTTTTGTGCCAATTCCTCTTTCTCGAATATATTTAATTTATGTTTTACTAATTCCATTTGATTTTTAAGATTTGGTTTTTGTGGTTCTCTCTGTAGTTCTAGTTCTAATCTTTTATATTCTTCTTCTTCCAGCCCCAGCTTCCTGTTCTTATTCCACACGTTATTAAAACAATAGCTAAGCAGAGAAATGATTGAAGCCTGGGAAACAGGGCCCTTGTCAGTCAATCACCAGCTTACCAGGTACTTAGGAACTGAGGACAGGGCAACACAAAGAAAGAACAATCACTGACTTAATGGCCGGCCATCAACACCCCACTTAACAACTAAAAGTCACACATAACCAGGCATCACATGTATACAATGTGCAGGACAGCCCAGTGTACATACTGTGGAGAGAGGGCAGTTCCAGCACGAATCCAAAAGCTTGGAAGAATAAACCTCTGGTCCCGGTGACCAACTCAGACTGGATCCTCAAGCACCATCTGATGTTTTAGAAAGCTTCTTCCATTGGGAGGATAATAATCATTGTTCTTTTGCCTTGCCAGGTACCAGGCGAAGAAAACATATGAGAATCCGGTGGATTTACTTGTAGACCCGATGTGGACAATCTGGGATTACAGTGATCTCACTGTGCTTCTGAAAAGTGTCATGAAAAAATTTAGAGGTAAAAAACAGCTGTCGAGGTGTTATGCTGGATGACATTTTGACCCCAGAGCATCCCAAAGAGATTCTGGGTCAGTGTCAGGGGGATCAAAGAGGGATCGATGTCAGGATCAGTGGAAGAGACACCTTCATTTCTCTGGGGAAAGGCCTTGTGTCTTGGCACCAGGAGGGGGAACAGGAGCTTCCTGGTTTCTCTCGTTAAAGATGAGCTAGCTAAAAACAGGAACCATTAGCCAGTCATAATTGACCATTTACAGGCAGTCCTCGACTTACAACAGTTCATTTACTGACTGTTGGAATTTAGAACGGCACTGACTTAGAACCATTTTTCACATTTATGACATCCCCACAGTCACGTGATTCACATTCGGATGCAACTGATTCAAATTTATGACAGTTGAAGTATCCACAGGGATCCCCACAGTCATGTGATTTACATTCGGATGCTTACAACTGATTCATATTTATGACGATCGTGTGATCATTTGTCACATTCTGACAAGCAAAGTCAATGGGGAAACCAGATTCACTTCACAACTGTGTTACTAATTTAGCAACTGCAGTGATTCACAACAAATGTGGCAAGAAAAGTCGTAAAATAGGGCAACATTGACTTAACAAATTTCTCACTTAGCAATATAAATTCTGGGCTCAATTGTGGTCATAAGTCAAGGGCTACCTGTATTCTTTATTTCCCAATTCCATATTCACTGATCACTGGGGAAGTTGAATAAGCTTTCACTAAATATAATGGAATATATACAGGTAGTCCTTG